GATTTCAGTCTTTGTAATAGCTAAATCATATTCCACTGTGTATATATAGTACATTTTCTTTATCTATTTGCTCACTGATAGAACCTTAGGTTGATGCCATATCTTTGCTATTGTGAATAGTGCTGTGATAAACATATGAGTGCGTGTATCTTTTTGATATAATTGTTTCTTTTCATTTGGATAGATATCCAGTAGTGGGATTGCTAGACGAAATAGTAGTTCTAACTTTAGTTCTTTGAGAAATCTCCATACTGTTTTACATAGAGGTTGCACTATTATAATTTACATTTCCATCAAGAGTGTGTAAGTGGTCCCTTTTCTCTGTATCCTAGCCAGTATCTGTTATTTTTTGTCTTTTTCATAACAGCTATTATAACTAGTGTAAGATGTATCTCATGATTTTAATTTTGCAGTTGTCTGATGATTAGATGATGAGGTTAAGCATTTTTTATGCCCTTTTTGGCCATTTGTATGTCTTCTTTTGAAAAATGTCTATCATGTTCTTTGCCTACTTTTTAATAGAGTTATCTGTTTTGGTTTATGTTGTTGCTGAGTTCCTTGTAAATTCTAGATATTAGTCTCTGTCGGATGCACGGCTTGCAAATAATTTTCTTCCTTCTGTAGAGTGCCTGCTCATGCACTTGTTTTGTTTGCTTGTTTAGTGATTGGTTGGCTTTTGCTGTACAAAAGTTTTCTGGTTTGTTTACTTTTGGTTTTGTTGCTTATACTTTCGAGGTCTTAGTCATGAATTTTTTGCCTACATCAATGTCCAGAAGAGTTTTCCCTAGGTTTTCTTCTGGCATTTTCATAGTTTCGGGTCTTACATTTAACTCTTTGATTCATCTTGAGTTGATTTTTCTTTATGGTAAGAGATAGGGGTCCAGTTACATTCTTCTGCATATTGTAATCCAATTTTCCCAACACTATAGTGTCCTTTCTCCAGTTCATGTTCCTGCTGATTTTGTCACAGATCAGCTGGCTGTAGATATGTGACTTTATTTCTGAGTTCTCTATTATGTTACATTGATTTATGTGTCTAATTTTATACCAATATCATGCTGCTTTAGTTACTATAGCCTTGTAATATATTTTTGCAGTCAAGCAGTATGATGCCTCCAGCTTTGTTCTTTTGCTTAGGTTTACTTTGGCTATTGAGGATATTTTTTGGCCATAAGAATTTTAGGATTGTTTATTCTAATTCTGTAAAAACTTAGGTCAATATTTTAATAGAGATCACGTTTAATCTGTAGATTGCTTTGGGCCGTATGATCTTAACAATATTAATTCTTATAATCTATGAGCATGGAATGTTTTTCTATTAGTGTCATCTGCAATTTTTTTGACAAGTGTTTTCTAGGTTTCCTTGTAGAGATATTTCACTTCCTTGATTAAATTTATTCCTGGGTATTTTAATTTTTATAGCTATTGTAAATGAGACTGAGTTGTTAATTTGGTTTTCAACTTGATCATTATTGTATAGAAATGCTATGGATTTTTGGATTTTGATTTTGTATCCTGAAATTTTACTTAGTTTATTTATCAAATCTAATAGGGTTTATTTGGGGGAGGGGAGTCTAGGGTTTTCTAGATATAAGATCTTATCATCAATGAACAGAGATAACTTGACTTCATCTTTTCCAGCTTGGATGCCTTCTGTTTCTTTCTCTTGCCTGAATCCTCTGGCTAGGAATTCCAATACTATGTTTTATAGGAGTGGCGATAATGGGCATCATTGTCTTGGTCCAGTTCTTACAAGGAATGCTTTCAATGGCCTTTATTATGTTGAGGTATATTCCTTCTATGCCTAGGTTTTTGAGGGTTTTTATCATGAAGGAAAGCTCAATTTTATTCATCTTTTTCCACAGCTATTGAGATGATCGTATAGTTTTTGTCCTTACTCTGTTAATGTGATAAATTATATTTATTGATTTGCAAATGTTGAACCATATTCACATTCCTTAAATGTAGTATCTTTTTCCACTCCTTTACTTTCAGCCTATATGTGTTTTCACAGATGAGTTTCTTGTAAGCAGCATAGAGTTGGCATATAGCATGTTTTTTAATCCATCCTGCCAATCAATATCATTTAAGTGGGACATTTAATACATTTACAGTGAAGATTAAAATTAATATATAACGTTTTATTTCTATCATATTGCTCTTATCTGGTTGTTTTAAAAATTCTTTGTCTTTGTGATTTGGTGAGTTCTGTCATGTTGCCATTTTATCCCTTTTTCTTCCTCCTTTGTGAAATTGTTTCAAAGACCTGTAAGATTTATGCTTTTGTGTGTTTTTATGGTGGTGAATATTAACCTCTGGTTTCCATGTTTAGGATGCCTTTAAAAGAGCATTTTTGCAGCTTCAGTCTAGTTGGGATAAATTCTCTTAGCATTTGCTTCTCTGGGAAAGACTATTTTCCTTCATTTATGAAGTTTATTCTTTCTGGAGGTAAAATTCCTAGCTGAAAGTTTTGTTTCTCTTAACATTTTGAAACTAGCGTCAAATTCTCCTCTGGCTTGTAAGATTTCTGCTGGTAAGTTGGCTAATAGTCTAACAGAATTTCTTTTACATGTGACTAGATGCTTTTCTCCTGCTAATTTTAGAATTTTTCCTTCATGTTGATTTTAGATAGACTGGTGACTACATGATGTGGAAATTCATTTTGCAATGTATTTTTCTGATGAATATTGGGCCTAAGCTTTTTGCTCTTTCTTCTACTGGAGGAATACCAATGATTCATATATTCAGTTGCTTTATGGAGTCTCATACTTTTCAAAGGCTTCCTTCACTCTCTCTCTTTTTTTTTTTTTCTTTTTCTTTTTTTTTTTTTTTTTTTTGAGACGGAGTCTCTCTATCACCCAGGCTGGAGTGCAGTGGCACGATCTCCACTCACTGCAACCTCTACCTCCCAGGTTCAAGCAATTCTCTTGCCTCAGCCTCCCGAGTAGCTGGGACTATCAGTGTATGCTGATGCACCCAGCTCATTTTTGTATCTTTAGGAGAGATAGGGTTTTGCCATGTTAGCCAGGCTAGTCTCAAACTCCTGACCTCAGGTTATCTGCCTGCCTCAGCCTCCCAAAGTGCTGAGAATACAGGTGTGAGCCACCATGCCTGGCCTGTTTATTCTTTTTTATTCTTTTTTTTTTTTTTTCTGTATTTTTATCTGACTGGATTAATTCAAAAGGCCTGTGTTCAAGTTCTGAGATTCTTTCTTCTGCTTGGTCTAGTCTATTGCTGAAGCTCTCAAATGCATTTTATAATTATTTCAATGAAAATTTTATTTCCAGATGTTCTGTTCATTTATTTAATTTTTAGTTTTTGAGGCAGTGTCTCACTCTGTCACCCAGGCTGGAGTGCAGTAGCATGAACACAGCTCACTGCAGCCTTGACTTCCTGGGCTCAAGCAATCCTTCCACCTCAACCTCCTGAGTAGCGGGGATCACAGGCATGCACCACCAGGTCTGGCTAATTTTTAAATTTTGTAGAGATGATATGCCATGTTGCCCACACTGACCTCGAACTCCTGGGCTCAAGCAATCCTGCCTTGGCCTTCCAAAGTGCTAGAATTACAGGTATGAGTCACCATGCCCAAGTGCTGTTTGTTTGGAGATATATATGTCCTTGATAAACTTCTCATTAATTCTAGATTTATGTTCAAATTTCTGTATTTCTTTTACCTTGGTAAGATTTCTAAATATTAATGAATACATGATTAGTTAATTTAGGCATAATTAGCTTCATTACATTTTAGTTTTTTCTTACTCAGAGTTAGAGTAATAATAAGAGGTTTTCAGATCCTCTTACTGGTGTCCATGTCTAAGAAAGTGGGTGATATACTTTCCAGTGTCATTCTTCTCACACAGTGTCCCAAGTACTCCCCAAGTGAGATTCAGGGTTTGGGAGGGTCAAGGTGTTCTTCTGTGGCCTGATTTGCCTGAATAACATGGCTCCCCAGGGGGTGGGTATATCATAGAGATACTCACTGTCCCTCTCCCACAATGGGGATTCACTCACCATTTTCAACTAGACCCCACCTTCTCTTTCCCTGTATCTAATTTTCTTTTGCTTGTCTGTTGAGCTTCTTTGTCCTTGGATAAAACTTCACAGTGTGAACCTCTACAGTATTCGTCACCCACTTTGCTTCTTCCAAGTGGGTGAGGAATACTGGGGAAGCCTCTAGTCTGTCATCTTGGAAAACTCTAAAGCTTCTTACAGATTACTCAAGTGGTTGAGATAAGAATGTTAGTAGAAATGTAGACAGTAAACATTATTCAGATAAGTCTTAGAAATGAGAAACAGACCTTGACCTGTTTCTGTAAATAAAGTTTTACTGAAATACAGACAGATCCATCCATTAACATGTTATCTATGGCTGCTTTGCACTAAAAGGCAAGGCGGAGAAGTTGAGATAGAGATTATGTGGCCCATAAAACCCAAAATATTCAGTGTCTGGCTCTTTAGAAAAACATCTGCCAACCCTGCCATATAGTATTCCAATGAATACACAGTGTATAGTACAATTTATTTATCCTTTCTACTGCTGACATGAAGCTACCAGAATTAGTGTTGCTATTAATGTTTCATTAAATATTGTTTCCTTAATATATGTAAGCATATGACCATTTGTTGGCAAATGACTAGTAGGGGAATTGCTGGGCCGTACAGACATGTTAAATGGCAGTAAATACTGCCAGTTTTCTGAAGTACCAAATTCTTCATTTCAATGTAGAAGGAAACTGATGCCCTAAAATGCTGGGTCATTTTACAGCAATGAATTAGGAAAAATTATTTTTGACTTTAGAAAATGTGTTTTAAAATTAAAAGAAAAACACTTCAAAGGAAAGTATTGAGTTGAGTAAAACTCTAAACTTCTAGGTACAGAGTGAAGTCATATGTGCAGAAAAAAAGCATTTCTTGCTCTGAAAAATAGATAGTACATTTTATAAGAATCTGGGAATAGAAAATTTAGGCATAAAAGCTGTGGCTTATAAAGTCCTTACCTTTGAATAAATGCAACCTTCAGTTCCAAACACCCACTTCTGAGATTCATCTCCACTATGTCTGTAACAAAAAATGTGATTTAAAAATTTACACCTTTTCTCCACAGAAGCACTTGTAGGTTTTAAATAAAATGATCATTTTCCAGATAGCCTGGCAGGAGGACTGCCCACACTCTACCAAAGGTGCTGCCATCATCATTTATATTTCAGCAGCTGAAGCTTTCCCTAAGACAACCAATTTCTCTCCTCCAATGATCTGGTACCCTTCGTGGGGTAAGTGTGTACATGTGTGTGTGTTACCAGTAGCAACAGTAATCAAAACATTTAGAGAACAAATACAATCAATAAGAACATTATGGAAATTTCTGCCCACAAAAAATATCTTCTGCGAAACAAAGAAAGAGACTTAATTAAGTACGAAGATTAAAAGGATAGTATGAAAAAAGATACCATGGAAAATTAGGAACCTCAGGCACCTAATTCTGAAACAAGTAGAGAATTTTATCAGGTAATATTATATTTTCTCAGCTAAGTCTGAGTAAGAAAAAACTAAAACGTGATGAAACTAATTATGCTTAAATTAACTAATCATGTATTCATTAATATTTAGAAATCTTACAAAGGTAGAACAAAAATGAATTCAATTAAGTGTAACAGGATGTTAAACAAGACTTTTCCTACTGCCTTTGAGTTTTGACAGAAATATCAAAGGTTGAGAATAAGAGGTGTCAGGTAATGTTCTATTCTATTCTAAAGCAAGGTGCTATGTGATCTGGGAAGAGTATGGAAAGGCAGCAGTCCAAAACTAGTTCAGTACACATTAGTATTTAGCCTACATCTAGACTATATAAAAGAATATGAAGAATTCATAGGCATGTTGAAATGAGTGCTTAATAACAATGTAGATCTTTAGAATCATAACCTCAGAGGTTTTGTTTTGAAGGTCTGGACCCCCCGCCAAAAAAAAATCTATATTAACAGTTGTTTCAAGTTATTTCAATTATAAAATTCTGGGGAATTTAGATGCATGTGGTTTACAAGCCAAATTTTAAAAAACATGTACTAGAATAATGAGAGCAGTGAGGAAATGGAAAATCAAATGTTTAAACTTAGAAATAGTAAGAAATACGTTGTCTCTGGGTTCTGGACACAGAGCTTCTTACTACCTTGACATTCTTTGAGTGATAGGAGAATCTTTTGTTCTAATGAGGGGATTCTTGGAAGGCTCCTGGATGAGGGCTGGTCACCAGAAAAACCAAGTCATGATTAAATCCTGGAACTTTTAGTGTTCCTGCCCCTTCTCTTGGGAGGAAAGAGGAACTGGAGAATGAGTTCATAATCAATCATGCCTCCATAAAAATCACCAAAACACAGGATTTGGAGAGCTTCTAGGTTTGTGAACACATCTATGTGCCAGGAGGGTGGTACATCCCAACTCCACAGGAACAGGAGCTCCTGTCCTCAGGACACTTCCAGACCTTGCCTTATGTACCTCTTTGCCTGACTATTCATCTGTATTCTTTATTATATCCTTCATAATAAACTGGTAAACATAGTAAATGTTTCTCTGAGTTCTGTGAGCCATTCTAGCAGATTATCAAACCCAATGAGAGGGTCATGAGAACCCTGACATACAGCTGGTTGGTCAGAAGTACAGGTGACAACCTGGGACTTGTTATTGGTGTTTTAAGGGGAGGCAGTCCTGTGGGACTGAGCCCTTAACTTGTGAGATCTAATGCTAACTCCTGGTAGATAGAGGCAGAACTGAATTGAACTGTAGGACACCTAGTAGGTGTCCACTGAGAACAGAAGAATTGCTTGGTGTGAAAAAACATAACACATCTAATATCAGAAGTGAAGTGTATAAAGTAGAGAAAACAGTTTGCTTTTTCTGTACAAATATATTACAAAGGAGAAACAATTTGATGATTGAATAAATGAGGTGGAGGTTAGAGAGTAGTCAAAGATAAGTCTCAGATGTCAAATTAGGGAAAAGAAGAGAGACATGACAATATTAAAGGAAAATTTAATTAGGATGCAGCAGAGTGGGGCAGAGATATGAAAAATAAAAGGAGTTCTAATAGTTATGTAAAAGTGTTTAATATTAAATAAAATATCTTTCAAGGTATAACTGATCCCTAAGCTAAGGATCCCATTCTAAGGCTTTGGCAATGTAAATGTAGCTCAAAACAATGTTGGCATGAGGTGGGGTGATAAAGGTACTGGGCGAAATTGTCTTTCTAAGGATCTTTCTCTTTTTATAATTAATAAAGGAAAAGAGAAGATTTTTAAATTTTGACACTTGGGGTCCAGAACTAAAATGATTATTATGATAATAATGATTATCTAAGAAAAAATACACAGACTGTGAGAATTTGAATGGAAGTGAGGGGCTATCCCAGTTCAGTTTCCGTCTTATAGATGAATAAAATGAGAAGCAGAGAGATGAAGTGAGCTGGGTAAAATCACAGCACTAGTAAATATCTAAATAGGAACCAGAACCCAAAATGTCTGACTTAAGCTCAACATCTCAATTAGATCAGAAAAGTATAACACAAGTTATTTTGTGTAAGTGGAAGACTGAAATGGAATCAACATTTTAGTCTCACTATTATAATTGGACACAATCTCAGTGACTTAATACATATTGATATAATCATAATGTTTTATACAACTGTATTAAAATAATCACCATATACTATAACAAATTCTCCTGAGGTACTGAGAAAGTTCATATTCCGAACCCTGAATGAAGAAATAACAAAAACAATATTGCTAGTCTTTAAAGCTGTCAATCCCAAGCTTAGAAGTATACTCCTTCAAAATAATAAAAAAGAGTGATTGCTGTAATGCTTTGAGGGAAATATGTGGGGTTGTGATAAAATTTAGATCATTTTAATGTGTAAGAGCTGTAACTCAGTGCAGCTTCATTGCTTACAAGCAATCTCTCCTGTTTCATAAATTATCGTGAGTATATTTCTTCGAGATAAATAAGATGTCAAATTATAATTTTTCAAAGTATAAGACATCTGCAATTGGCAATTAACAGACTGATGCTAACCATACAAATCTGCAAAATTCAGGATTTTGTCTTTTAATTGAATTAGTGTTGCCTTAATGATGAATTACGTTGATTTCAGTTTTGACTTTCTAAACTTATGGCATCTTTTCTCAAAATTAATACAACAGAAAAGATGTCCAACAAACTGCCAACTGTGTGAGGGCAGAGACCATGCATGTCCTCAGAGCTGATCACAAGGCCTGACATGTAACAGGATATTAAAGTTATCTTTGAATAAATAAAAATGTGAATAAAGTGTCAGAATGTTACTACCCTAAAAGTTAATCATAAAGCAATTTGAAAATGTTTTAAATTTAATATATGGCTGCTTAGGGAATTTAAAAGATCTTCTTGGTAGATGGCTAAAGAAGAGAAATTATTCCTTTGTTAAGAAAATAAAAAATAATTTTGAAAGAAATACAAATTTACTAGCATTTGTCAAATTTTATCAAGCTTCAATTCTGTTCAAGCATATATTTTCCTAGAAAATTCTACTAAAAACATGTAGTCCTATATAATTTATAACCTCTAGGAACTTACTAGTAGCACTCCTGTTGGTGGTCTACTAAAATCTATAAATGTTGTCCCTAAATTTTACCAAAGTTATAAAAAAACAAATCTCATGTAGTGCCACATTAGGCTGGATAAAAAGGTATCATTCTAATTTATAATAACTTCTTAAAGAAATAAAATTTCTATACACAAAGTGTATCTGCCTATTTTTCAAGACACTGTATATGTAGAAAAATCAAATTTGGATCCAACATGCAATAATGCTCAGTGAGACTGATTTTGATAATGATGTCATAGTCTTTCCTCTTCTTGATCAAAAAGCATCAAGCTAAAAGTATTTTTTAAAAACAAAAACAAAATTAAAAAATAACAACAACATCAATAATGGAAGGAAGGGAAAATGAAGGAGCTATATTCCATCCAAGAATCAGTCATAATATCATGACATACACCAACCTAAGGTTGAGAGACTTGAGTTCTAGTCCTGCATCTAACGTTAACTAGATAGATGAACTTTAGCAGATCACTTAGTCTCTAGTGGTCTTGGAATTTTTTTTTAATAATGATGATATTCTTATCACAGCCATCACTATCACCACCTCTATTACCACTAGCATGTGTGTAAATGTCTCTATAGGTGATATAGATATGAATTGGATAGTTATAGATCCTACAGGACATCTATAAAACATAGATATGTATGTGTATGTGTTTATACACTCATATATTCATCATTTCCTGGTAACTATATGGAGGACTGTTATCATGCTTCAGGATCACAAATTTATTTTCCCAGACAGCCTCAAATGGCTCTGATGTCTACCAACACTACCTGGAACAAAAGTACAATGCATGTAGAGGATGGGGAAAGGGATTTCCAGTCCATAATTCATAACATAGTAAGAACAGAGACAAGTTCCATTCAGTAACCCACATACTGTGAAACTACACATGGACAACTTTCTATTTGATGTTGACATTTCTAATGGTATTATCCGTATGTGTGAACACAACTTCTGTCTGCTGCTATTCCTTAGCTGCATTTGTTGGTTCTATTTAAAGGTGTCCGTAAAACAGCGTGTGTTTTTAACCTAGTCTGGTAATGTTGGCTAATTGTCACTCCACTTTTAGCAAGACCTAAATTGCAATTAAAAAATTGATGTAAAAAAACATAACTGAAAGATTAACCCAAAAGATGGTAAAGATTACTTGAAATTGGACTGGGTTCCATGAAAGTCTGAAACTTCTTTTATGGATCATCTTTAAGATAGAATATTCAGCTCCATATTTATTTTGATTTAAGAAGTATACAGACTAAAGATAGAAAAGAGGTCTCCTTTGATGGGTCCATTACTCCATTGATTTTATATGTAGGGGCTGCAAATTCAAAAGTCTTTATGGACCAGACAGGTATTAGAAATACATGAAGCAGTGAAAGCCAGTGTGAGGGCTGCTAAAGGGAATGGTGGAGAATATGGCAAACTAGG